ATTCTTGCTGTCTTCCTTCCACTTGTGCTTTGTTTTCCCTAAGTAAATGGTACCAGATGTGCACAGTGCACTGAGCTGTTTTGGAAAATGTGAATCATTGTCTTATAAAAGGAGAGCACAATGGCTAGCCACACTGATGTTCATGTGCCTGTGGTCCCAGCACTCAGGAGGCTGAGGCAGGGAGATTACCAGTTTGAGGCCAACTGGGTTTGTTCAAGAGCAAGGCCCTGAAAGGTGGGGGACAAGAATGGGAACAGAGAGGGATAAGAACAGAACGCTTTCCTTGGCAGACCCCACTTTCTATGGATTGCATGTTTTGAGGGCAGCCCAAGGCTGAGTGAAGGACAGTGATGCTCAGATTAGTTTTGACTGTGCTTACACAGTCTCTAAGGAGTGCCTGCCTGTCTGTCAGACCAATGGGTTTTCATTCAGGAGACAAAATAAATAAAAATTTTAAAAATTGCATTAAAAATGAAAAAAACCTATAAGGTCAGATTTTTTTCAAAAGAATACTAATTGTATAATTTTCATATGCTCCTAGCTGCTGATGGCCTAGCAAAAACTGTCCTGGGTGAAACCTGTAGAAAGTTGAATGTGTTCATTTGGTAATGTCTCATGAATACTGTCTTACACTGTATTAGATTTTGTTTTAAACAATGCTACTGTTTTATGGTCATTTCTAGGTGTCAGTGGCTTATATGTTTTTAAAGTTCTTCACAACAAGTAAAATGTTTTTTAATGTTATGGGTACCTAAAGAAAAAAATGAACAAATTTAGTGCCTTTCCTTGAGCAATTTAAGATTCCAGGTTGTGGTGGTGTAACTATGCTGTGCTGTGTTTAATGAGCTAAAATTCCGTCCCTTTGCTCTAAACATAGACTTTTAAAATCTGGGAGAGTTTGATGAGCTAACCCTGTTCTGGTAGAGCACAGGGTTCACTTCAGTGTCTCTGGTCTTACGACGTTAATCACAGCTGATTCTTCAACTGTAGCTGACAGACCACAAATTCTTAATTCAAAATATCACACGAACAGCCCTGATACATAGTCCTTGCTTCCACCTGAAGCTTCACAGGCCAGCCCGCCATCATCTGATCCACTCTCAGCTTTGTCTTCCAAGTTCCCACAACAGCCCAGTGACCTCTGACCACTCAGCAGCTTTTCCAGCTTTTCCCAAATTCCCAAATCCTCAACAGTCTTCCCAACAGACCCGGGCCGGAGGGTCACAGCAGTACCCATGAACATGGTGCTACTGTATTATTCTGTTGCGGTGGTAAATACCATGACCAAAAGAAACTTGGCGAGGCAAGGGCTTATTTAGCTTACATATTCTGAGTCACGATTTGTTGAGGGAAGGCAGGAACTTAATTGGCTTTCTCTCCATGGCTTGTTCAGACAGCTTTCTTATACCAACAGTAATCACCTGCCCGTGGGTGGCAACACCCACAGTGCACTGGGCCCTCCCACACCAGTGATCAATCAAGAAATTACTCTACACACTTGCCTGCAGGCGTCTAATGGAGGCATTTTCTCAATTGAGGTTTCAACCCCCAGATAAATCTAGCTGGGTCAGGTTGACAGAAAACTAACCAGGGCACCTCCTTTCTTGTGTCAGTAGCAGACCAGACCTCTCAAAAATGCTTGTGTATTTTAAGTCCATCTATGGAAACCAGCTCAGATACGACGTGTCTTTCGAGTCTCTGCTAGATGAGTGTAGAAACGTAGTGGAGCTGATGGCCTAAAGGTGATTACATAGGATGCCAATCTTCAGTTACACAAACATTAAAATATTGCCGTCTGTTTACAAAACCATTCCCTCTCCTTCCCGCTTTGTTTGCTTTCCTAATGAGAGCTGGCCTCTGACTGGCATAGTTACAGAGTTGAAGCTGTGTTTTACAATGGTTTGTGGTGAGTCCGGCAGAATCATGTGGAAGCCACAGCAGCCTCTAGACTAGTTCACCTCCTGCAACTCCACATTTTCCAGTACCTAAAATATGAGTTGCTAAAGTTACCCTTTCTGGTCATTTTCTGTACCACTAGATCATGGAAGTTTTGTTAAGTTACAATGTAAGCAATTCACTGAGCCTTTCCGGGCCTGTGCTCAATAAGAAATGCTATAGTGGAGGTCAGTAGGCGGTGTGTCTTGTATGCCTCCCTGCTGGGAAGTAGAGCAGAGCTAATAAAGGAGTTTCCATTCGTAGATTACCAAAGAGTCACTTAAAATACATACATTAAAAAACACACATGATAAATATTTACTTTGAGGGCTCAATTGTTCTTCCTCAACTCTTTTTCAAACTAGAGAAGAAATCTGGAAATGGAGAGAAAGCTTTAAAAACAAAGCAGTTACTTTCTCATCAGGGTCATAGTGTTTTCCAAGACAGGGTTTCCCTGTGTAGCTTTGGAGCCTGTTCTCATCTGGAACATGTTCTAGTGGAGTTGACAGGAAATAGATGACTCAACTTTAGCGGTGACTTCTGTGAAGAATGTAAAGCAAGGTAGCATAATACAGCGATAGGCACTTACTCTGCTTTGCTGGGCAGAGTCATCTCTGCAGTGTTTGAGGCCTAAATGATAAGAAGACGGTGATGAGAGAATGATGAGCATGTGAGTGTTTGATGTACAACTGGACGGGGCTGGGCGGGGTGGGGCAGGGTGGGGGCAGCCTCAGCTACATAGAGGCTAGCCTGGGCAGTATGACACTGTCTCAAAACCAAAACCAAAAATAATGGGGATGGAAGTTGTAGCCAAATAGGAGTGATCAAGTTAAAGAGACTGGAGAGATGGCTCCAAGGGTAAAGGGCACCTGCTGCTCTTGTAGAGACCCAGGTTCAGTTCCCAGCACCCATATGGTGACGACAAACTATCTGTAGCTTCTGTGCCAGGCAGTCTGGCTCCCTCTTCTGACCCCCACAGGTATTGCATGCACTTGGTGCTCTTAGATACGTGCAGACAAAGCACTCACACACATTGTCTTAGTTTGCTTTCTATTACTATGATGAACACCATGACCAAGAGCAGCTGGGGAGGAGAGAGCTTATTTCATCTTACAGTTTGTTCCCTCAGTTCACCACTGAGGGAAGTGAGGCAGGAACCCAGAGGCAGACAGTGCTCCCAACAATGTTTTTTTTTTTTTTTTTTCTTAAGTTATCACAGAACAGCCCATTAAAGTCTAAGCACTCAATGGCTTTTCCACCTCAAAGTTCTAAACTGTCTGCAGTACCCTATGAACCTGCTACCAATTTCTGGCTCGATGCCCAAAAGCAAGTTAAGGAAGAAACTTACCGCTTTATTGTCTCACTGGGGGAAGTCAGCGCAGGACCCTGGAAGCAGGAACTGAAAGAAATACTGCTAACTGGCTTGCTCTCCTTGGCTGCTCAGCCTGCTTTCTTATACCAACTAGGACCACCTGCCCAGAGGTGGCACCACCCACAGAGGGCTGGGCCCTCCCACAGCAGTTATTAATCAAGAAAATGCCCTAGATTTGCCTACAGCCAGTTTTCTCAACTGAGATTGGCTTTTCCAAGATGACTCCAGCTTGTGTCAAGCTGGACAGAAGACAAACCAGGACACAAAATAAAGATAAATTTTAAAAAAGTTTTCCAGGTGAGATGATTGGTACAGGTTCACTAAGAGCAGAGACATGCTTGTTGTGTGGGGAAAGTGTTTGGTAAGGGAGATGGGGTCACTGAGGTGGGCAAGAGCCTAACCTTGTAGACACTCACAGGCCAGAGCAGAGACTAGATCTGATAGCAACCCACTGGGTTTCCTGTGAACCAAACACTGGTTTTAGTGAGAAGAAGAATATTCAAGAGGACTGACAATGTGGCTCAGTAGACAAAGGCCCTTGCTGTGCAGACCCAATGAAGTGACTTCAGTTACCAGTTCTACCATTTAAAGGTAGAAAGAGAAAACTGACTCCACAGAGATGTTCTCTGAACTCCAAAGCAATATGCATGCACACCTACACATGTAATTATAAACATACAGCTATAAAAATAAAATAAACACAATTTAAAAACATGCAGCCTTTAATTCCAGCACTCAGGAGACAGAAGCAGGCAGATCTCTGAGTTTGAGGCCAGCCAGAGCTGTTACACAGAGAGACCCTATATCAACAAACCAGAAAAAAAAAAAAAAAAGATGGATTAAATTGAAAATAGACTATTAGTAGGGATCCATTTTCCTCAACTAGAGTCCTCTTAGTGTCTCTCTCCCTACTTCCCCCTTGTTTTTTGTTTGTTTTTAGACAGGGTCTATGTAGCTCTGGCTGTCCTAGAACTCATTATGTAGATCACGCTGGCTTCAAGCTCACAGAGATCTTTCTGCCTCCCCAGTGCTGGGACAAAGGTATGCACTACTATGCCCATTTTTTGGTATCATCTTTTTTTTTTTTTTTTTTTTTTTTTTTTTTTTTTTTTTTTTAGGCTGTCATATCTTGGAATTACAGACAGTTGTGAGCTGCCATGTGGGTGCTGGGAATTGAACCAGGGTCCTCTGGTAGAGCAGTCAATGCTCTTAACCAATGAGCCATCTCTCCAACCCCCTTGGTATCACTCTTAAGTGGTGTTAAGAGGGGTAAGGCAGAGCCACTTGGCCTTTTTATGGAGATGGGCATTATTAATTGTTTTAAACCAGATGCACTCAAAGCATCTATCAACAGGACACTGTCCCTGGCATAGGCCTGGATCTTGTCTGTGTCACATAATCACATTCTAATTTTTTTAGCAAATTGTTTACCTCCTTGGCCCTCATTTTTGTTACTGAAAGAGCATGAGTGTAGTGTTGTGCTCCTGTAATCTCAGCACTTAGAAGGTAGACCAGCCTGGGCTACATAGTGTGTTTCAGGGAGCCAGGGTACTCAAGGTGGTGCATGTCCCACCCCAGCACTCAGGAGTTCAAAGGCAGGAAGATTCTAAGTTCAAGGCCAGCCTGGTCTGCAAAGACCTCGTATCTGTTCCACCTCTTCATCTAGTGTGGGGAGGGACAATCAGTGTAAGTGGGCTCATAGGACACCAAGCAGTGTTTTTGTGGGCGTCTGCAGTCACAGTCTAACGACTGTCCAGGCACCACCTTGTCATGACATTTTCAACTTTTACCATTAGTGTTAAGTCAAGAGCCATTTGTGCATTTATAATTTCTTCCAATTCAAGGCTAGGTTTGTTTTATTTTGTTTGGCTTTTTGAGACAGGGTCCCCTGTAGCTGAAGCTGGCCTGGAGCTCCTGATCCTCCAGCCTCCACCTCCTGAGTACTAGGATTATGGGTTCACATGTGACTTGAGGCAAGGCTTATGACTGGCCTACAACATAGGAAGCTGCCCTCAGATTTCTCCATCCCAGGTAGACGAAACCTAAAGGAAGAAGGTCATGGAGAGAGGTCCTCTCGCCAAGTCTTACGAATGCATTTGGGCCTAGACCAAAGCAGGCCTGTGAAGCTGCCTCGCTGTGTGCTATTTTGCTTCCCACATTCAGCCCTGCTGGCCACCTTTCTTCAGGACTTGAAAGGCTAGAGGTGTTCATACCCGCAGTGACTGGTATCTGGCTTCATCCCCAGCCTGAGGGGCAGCAACCCAGGAGGCTGAGCATGCAGACTCTGGGCCTGTAACTCAGGGATTCACTTACTCTCCCATCTCTTGGGAGCATCAGGAATGACTAGCCTGGACTCTTGGTTTGCTAAAGGAAGGAGGCTCCTCTAGTACTATTCTTGTGCAGTGGTTCTTAACCTTCCTAATGCTGCAATCCTTTAACACAGTTCCTCATGTTGTGGTGACCCCAGCCATAAAATTATTTCCATTGCTACTTCATAACTGTAATCTTGCTGCTGTTATGAATCGTAATGTAAGCATCCATGTGCAGGAGATTTGATAGGTGACACCCTAAATGTTAACACACCCACAAGTTGAAAACCACTGCTTTAGCGCAAGATTGCAGGTCTGACCATTTAGACTCTTGCAGTTGAGCTCAATGAAGCAGATAACTGAAACTCCTGTATTTCTCTACCCCTGGCTCCCTGGCTTTTTTCATACTTCCTTTCCAAGCCATGAACTTGTAGACTTTAACAGTCAGTCACTGGAAGGGACTGGTAGGGTAGCAGTTGCCTGGAACAGTCATCCTAATTTGTAGGTCGCACGTGTGGTCTGGACACCCGTGTGTTGTGTTCCTCTTCAGATAGAGCCAGCACTGTTTGTTTGCCACAGCCAGGGTTGCTGTGTGTGCCACCTCTGTCCCCTCCCCATTTTCTCAGCTAACCTCTTTTTCTTTTTCTTTAGGCCAATGAGGCAAGCTCAGAGTCCATAGCATCCTTCTCTAAACCGGAGATCATGAGTAGCTTTCTGCCAGAGGGCGGGTGTTACGAGCTGCTCACTGTCATAGGTAATTCCTAGGAACACACCCGCCTCCTCAGCTAGCTTTGAGGATTCATGGTGATAATGGTTTTCTATGGATTTCCTGTGCCAAGTATAGGACAAAATCCTTGCTAGGAGGCCATAGTCCATTACGATGGTTGCCTGAGAAGGACCAATGGGAAAACCAAGAAATGTCAGCTATGAAAGTAGCAGTAGTGAACATTCTAACTAGAATTTTCTGCTGAAATTGAGTCCCTTTTTCTTTAGAGTAGATAAATTTTAGTGGCTGTTTTTGTTTAAGTCATTCCTCTTTTCTTTTAGGTAAAGGATTTGAAGAGTTAATGACAGTGAATTTAGCCAGGTACAAACCAACAGGAGAGTATGTGACAATACGAAGGATCAACCTAGAAGCTTGTTCCAATGAGATGGTGACGTTCTTGCAGGTAATACAGCATGGGTATGACCCTTGGAGGATGGGCTCCTGGTTTTTTGTTTTTGTTTGTTTTTTTTTTGTTGTTGTTTTTTTTTTTTGGTTTTTCGAGACAGGGTTTCTCTGTGGCTTTGGAGGCTGTCCTGGAACTAGCTCTTGTAGACCAAGCTGGCCTCGACCTCACAGAAATCCTCCTGCCTCTGCCTCCCGGGTGCTGGGATTAAAGGCGTGCGCCACCGAGGCCTGGCTTGGGCTCCTGGTTACATAGCAATATTGTCTCATTCCTCTAGAAGTTTCTTCAGGAAGCTAAGGTGGACCCTGTGCTCAGAAGTCATGAGGCATCAGTGAAGAATTTTACGTATTTGACACTGTCTGTCAGGCTGTGGTGCTACTCAGCCCAGTTGTCCCCTCCTCCTTAAATGTTTTTCTTTGCTTCTCTCTGCATTATTCATATGCAGGATTTTCCTCAAGTGATGCTCACCTGGCCATGCTGTCTGAGTTCCTCCATTCACAGTTACTAGACGGGGCCTGTACTGATTTAGTTATTGGTGGGGGAAAACTGAATTTATTCTAGAACATGCTTGCCCATGTGATTTTTCTGGCTTTTATTCTCTGAAGCAGTAGACAGACCGAGAGAACTGTCCACGTGGTCTCAGTTTAGGTCATAAAGGCCAGGGACCTGAAATTTCTGGGGGTTTTTTGCTTTGTTTTTAATGTCTTTGGAGACAGGGTCTCACATTCCAGCCAGTCTAGAACTCATGTAGCCCAGGCTGGCCTCAAACAGTCCTCCTGTCCTAGCCTTCTAAGCCATCAGCTTTTTTTTTTTTTTTTTTTTTTAGTTTTTCAAGACGGGGTTTCTCTGTGGCTTTGGAGCCTATCCTGGAACTTGCTCTTGTAGACCAGGCTGGTCTCGAATTCACAGAGATCCTTCTACCTCTGCCTCCCGAGTGCTGGGATTAAAGGTGTGTGCCACCACCGCCCGACTTAAGCCATCAGTTCTTAACCTGTGGGTAAACACCCCATTACGATTCATAGCAGTAGCAAAATTACAGTTCTGAAGTAGCAATGAAATAATGCTATGGTTGGGGTCAGCACAACATGAGGAACTGTACTAAAGGGTGAAGCATAGGAAGGTTGAGAGCCATTGCTTTAAGCACTGGGATAACACAGATCTCCCTGGCTCTTCTGAGGTTCCTTTGTTTTTGTTTTTTTTTGTTTTTTTTTTTTTAATTTTGTTTGTTTTTGTTTTTTGAGACAAGGTTTCTTTGTGTAACAGTCCTGACTACTGGAACTTGCTCTGTAGACCAGGCTGGCCTCAAACTCACAGAGACCCACCTGCTTCTGGGAAAGGTGCCGGGAAATGTCTCCTTGTATTCCATAGTTCTCATTTGTCTGTTAGTCAACTCTTGCTGGGCAGTGGTGGCGCACACCTTTAATCTTTAATACCAGCACTCGGGAGGCAGAGGCAGGCGGATCTCTGTGAGTTCAAGACCAGCCTGGTCTACAAGAGCTAGTTCCAGGACAGCCTCCAAAGCCACAGAGAAACCCTGTCTCGAAAAAACCCAAAACCAAACCAAACCAAACCAGAACAAAACAACCAGTCAACTCTTATACTTTAATGTATAGTGGGAAAATATTTTTTGTTTATTTTTAGATAGCATCTCACTATTACCCAGCCTGGCCTCAAATTTACAGTCTTGCTACCTCAGTGCCTGAGCTGGGACTGTGTGTTAAGTGAGTCACTTCCCAAGTCTTCAGCCACTGCTCTGTTTTTGTCATTTCTGAGATGGTTGATTCTCACTGTGTTGACAGCAGTAACCCTTCGTGGTGAAAGGTTGCTTTTGGGGCTCTTGGGTGTTGGTGGCTGGCAGGGCCATCCAAAGGTCTAAGTGGGCAAATCAGGTGGCTTTCCCCAGGTAGGATGGGCCTTCCTACAGTGGAAGGACTTTGAGGAGAGCATCCAGAAGGTGCTAGGTCTCCACACTATAACCTGCCATCCTCATTTTGAGTGCCATTTGTGACCCTGACCTCAGCTCTGCGGTTGCTTTCAGGGGGAGCTTCATGTTTCTAAACTCTTCAGCCATCCCAATATAGTGCCATACCGAGCCACCTTCATCTCCGACAATGAGCTGTGGGTCGTTACGTCCTTCATGGCATATGGTGAGTGGGAAGGTTCTAGAACACTTGTGTTCCTTCTGTGCTGCTTTCTTTCTCCTGTTACCCTCAGTGTCCCTTTCAGGTTCTGCAAAGGATCTCATCGGCACACACTTCATGGATGGCATGAATGAGCTGGCGATTGCATACATCCTGCAGGGGGTGCTGAAGGCCTTGGACTACATCCACCACATGGGCTACGTGCACAGGTGTGTTCTAGAACAAGCCACTTTACCCTTTACTCATGAAGCTAGAGCTCAGAATCAAGGATCTGGATTCTGAACTTGACACTTGGGGGACAGTCACTAGCCTGTCAGTGCTGAAGTCACTTGATCTTTATCTTGTGAGAGGACCATCTACTATGGACCACTGGCCCCTGACCTATTGCTTTGTGGTTAGTGTCAGGGAAACCAGCTCATAATGGGGACGATAATGGAACTGGAGCCCTCCCTCCACTTCATTGATTCCAGGAATCAAACTGAGGTTGTGAGGCTTGACAGCAAGTGCCTTTATCCACGGAGCCATCTTACAAGCCCCAAACTGCAGACTTAGGTAGAAGGCAGTGTGTGGAAATACTTTTGGGACTTAGATACACAAGAGCTAGACATTTAAAAGCATAAATCAAGAAAATGATCAATTTGATTACATCAGTTTTAAAGATTTCTATCTCGTAAATGATACTATGAACAAAGTAATGTGTACTAGAATGACAGTTGTCAGCTTTGTCTAAACATAACATGAGCAACAAGACCGTGCAAAACAAGAAAGGACAGCAGAGTGGCAGGATGGGAGGTCATAGCAGAAGAGACCCCAGCAGTTTCAGGGACACACACTCAGCCCTTGTGATCATAGAACCACAAATGAAGACACGATGTCACATTGCAGTGGTTAGGAGGCTGGGTGGAACCAGGAGCAGCCAGCTGGGGCATGGACGCAGGCTCATCAGCTCTGGCTGTGTGCCATCAGTGGACCTGCGTGCTGACGTCTGCTGATGCTGATGTCTGTTATATTTGCACTGAGTGCAAGTGTCGTTGAGTGTGTCTCCCTGGAGAGTGGGAAATATTAGGTCCCTGGGCTAGAGTTGCCAATCGGAAGTAAGAACCCAGCATGTACAGATGGCAACAAGGATGAGTCTTGAAGTCAGTACTGAGTGAGAAAGGAGTGAATTGCTTAACAGAAAGCAATGAGGTAAATCAAAAGCACACAATACACTTCCCAAGAATGCCCAAGAACAAAAAGTAAAAGTACAAGTAGGAGCCAGGCTGGAGCACGAGTGGCAGATGTCTGTGAGTTCAAGGCCAGCCTGGTCTACAGAGTGAGTTCCAGGACAACCAAGGCTACACAGCAAACAAAAATCATTAGTCCTCCTGGTATGGTGGTGCATGCCTGTAAGAGAGCAGATCTCAGAGCATTAAGGCTTTGGGGACAGCCTAGACTACATAATGAGTTCCAGGCTGGCTGGGACTATCTATCGGAACATGGCTGATACGCCAGGGGCCTCACTGTTAAATAAAACTGACTTTCCCTCCCCCAGAAGCCATCAGCCTGTCAGTTAGGGGCAGAGGCTCTTGAGCGCCTCTCTCCTCCATGCTAGAATGCTAGGGTCCTATTCAGGCAGCCACAGTTTCCGTGAGTTCATGAGTGCAGTGGTCGTATGTGTCCAGAGGACACTGTTTTGGTCAGTTCTTCCCTACCTCTGCTCTTACAGTCTTTCCATCCTTTTTTTTTTTTTTTTTTTTTTTTGCAATGGTCCCCAGCCTCGGTGAGAGGAGAGTGATAGAGATGGCCATTTGTGCTGAGCACTCACCCCATAGACACTAACTGACCACACTGACCAGCTTGAGTGTCTGTATTAGTCAGGACCCGGCACAGAGACTTCTCTGATGAGGGTGAGAGCACTAATCTCTCAGTGTGTGGGGGAAAGACACACATTTGGAGGGTGCTTTGATACTAGCGACATACCAAGTTTTCAAATATAAGCTGGGCAGTGGTGGCGCCACCTTTAATCCCAGCACTTGGGAGGCAGAGGCAGGCAGATCTCTGTGAGTGGCTGGAGTAGCAGTTAAGAGCACAGAGATCCCAGCACCTACATTGGGTGGGTCACAATTGTCTGTAATTCTAGCTCCAAGAGATCTGACAACTCGGGCCCCTGCAGGCACATGCACACACCCACTCCCACACCCCCATACACATAACTAAAATAAAAAATAAATAAATCTCTAAGCTGCAGAAACAGCTCAGTGGGTAAGAAAGTCTACTACTTTTGCAGAAGACTTTTTGGTTCCCAGCATCTACATTGGGTTGTTCACTATGGACTATAACTCCAACTCCAGGGGCTCTGGCACTGTCTTCTAGCCCTCCTTGGGCATTGCACATCTCACATACAGATACGTGTACACATAATTAAAAACCAACCTAAACGTCTGGGTGTGGTGGCACATACCTTTAATCCCAGCATTCTGGAGGCAGAGGCAGGTCAATCTCTATGAGTTCAAGGCCATCCTGATCTACAGAGTGGTTTTCAGGATAGCCAAGGTTACAGAGAGGACCCAGTCTCAAAACCATGCACAAAATAAACATAAACAAACAAAATCTAGTGGTACATGAATGGGGCCATGTTATTTTCTTATTTTTAGGTATGTTTGAAAATGGCCATAGATGTATGTATGTATGAGTTGCACTTATATGCATGGGATTTGCACATGGGGGAGAGCTGGCCAGGTCCAAGAGCATTGGGCATGCACATGTATTCATCTCCCCCTCAGGAGTGTCAAGGCCAGCCACATTCTGATTTCCATGGATGGGAAGGTCTACCTGTCTGGTCTACGCAGTAACCTCAGCATGATCAGCCACGGGCAGCGGCAGCGTGCGGTCCATGATTTTCCAAAATATAGCGTCAAGGTCCTGCCATGGCTCAGCCCAGAAGTCCTCCAGCAGGTCTGTGTCCTTGGGCCCAGGGAGGCCCAAGAATTTGCTGGGGTGGAGTTTCTCCCTGATTCTGGTAGAGTAAGAGGTTCTGGAGGAAGCATCCTGTTGGCCAGGTGTGTCTTAGCACCCACTCAGCATGGGCATTGCCTGCCTGCTGTGGATGTGTGAGGTCCCTAACTTGACACTAGTGTCTGTCTCAGGGACACTTCCCACCCTGTGGGTAGAGAGCATTCTGGAAATACTTGGTGCCAGCAGGTGCACCCATTCCAGTGTGCCTGCTCATTTCACAGCAGCGCCAACCGTTTGCTGTCCTCACATAGCAGTTGTCTGCAGCAGAAGGAGGAGCATGGTCAGCTCTGGATCCTGACTGGGATGGGCATTCATCGCCTCCTCAGTTTTTATTCCTTCTTATTTAAAGAAAGGCCAGGGCTGCAAATGGAGCCACCTTTGACTTTTTTCTTCTTTCTTAGAATCTTCAGGGTTATGATGCCAAGTCTGACATCTACAGTGTGGGGATCACAGCGTGTGAACTAGCTAATGGCCATGTCCCCTTCAAGGATATGCCTGCCACTCAGGTAAGTGCAGTCCTGTCTGCCTTCCACAAATGTCTGTTGCTTCCTGCCACACTGGGACTCTGACTACAGTTAATAACATGATGGTCTTTTTTCTTCAAGAAGTTTTCCACCCACTTGGTGGAGGGGTGTTTGTGCAATTCTTTGTTCCCTTCTCTGGTGATAAATATTGTGGTCACAGAGCCCAACCCATAGGGTGGGGCAAGTAGGACAGTGAGTGCCGACAGAGGCACATTAACACATGATACTGTATGGCTATGCAAACTGTATAAACTGCTGATCAATTTTGAACTTAGAGCAATCCTCCTGCCTCAGCTTCCAAGTTTTTTGATTATAGGCATGTACCACCATGCCCAGCTAAGCTGCCCGATCCTTATAAACTCATCAGCTATGTCCTATCTTTCTCCCTTGATAAGTACAAAAGATCAGCGTTCAGTTTCAAATCCCAGGCATCTCTGGTTGTGTGCACTGTGCTCTGAAACACACTGTAGAACCTGCATTCTGTAGACCCCTGAACATGCCTGCCTTTTGGCCACCGTTCAGGCCAGTGGCATAGCCTGCTCGTGGACTGGCAGACCTAGAGAAGAAACTTATTCAGGTCCTACCATACCCAGGAAATGGAGTTGGGATTGTCTGGGCAAGTGTTACTTGAATCTCAGGTGCCTGGAGCAAGATGTAGAACTAGGAGGAGGTAAAAACCTGTGAGCAGGCCTCCCTCCTCAGGCTCACACACTGCTCACCTTGGGGTCACAGGTTGAAGCTAGAGAATGATTGAGTCAGCAGGGACCAAAGGAACTTCTAGGGGGTGAAAATACTTTGTCTAAGACTTTAAAAGAAAAAAAAAAATTTGTGTGCACATGTGCCATTGCCTAAGGAGTTCAGAAGAGGGCATCAGAGCTCCTGGATCTGGCGTCACACACTTGAAAGCCACCCAACATGGATGCTAGGAACCAAACTCAGGTTCTCTGTAAGAGCAGCAAGCTTCCTTAACCACTGAGCCATCTCTGCAGCCCCTAGTCTAGCCTTAAAAGCTAATAGCAGTTGACTACATAAAGAGTGGGAATAGAAGCCTACTCTGGGCTGGAAGTGTAGCTCAGTGGTAGATGTCAGGCGTTTTCTTTTGGGTCACCAACCAGCTCCCAGGTTATGGCACAGAGACTTCTTATGATTTATGAATGTGTGGCCTTATATTAGCTGGTATTTTAATCTGTTCCGCTTTATGTACATTTTGTCTGAGCTCAGGGCTTTTACCTTTCTTTCCGTATGTCCTACTGTGTCTGCTGGCTGGCAGCTGCCTGGCTAGCCCCTGGCTTCTTCCTCTCTTTCTCCCTTGTTCTCTCCTCCATTGCCCAGATTTCTCTTCCTAACTACTCTCTGCCTGCAAGTCCTGCCTATTTTTCTGCCTAGCTATCGGCTGTTCAGCTCTTTCTTAGACCAATCAGGTACCTTAGGCCAGCAAGGTGAAATAGCAACACACCTTTACGTAATTAAAAAAAAAGTGCAACATAAACAAATGTAACATACCTTCACAACAGTAGAGTGCTTACCTAGGATATGCAGAGTCCTGAGTTCAGAATCCTGCAACATCAAGTGTGTGTGCTAACAAAGAACTAGATCTGAGGCATAGCAAAGAATTGTAAATGGCTGGGGTCCAGGCATTCCAGAGAGCTGCTGGGTGATGAGGCTGGAGAAGGAAACAAGAACATCCCGTATGTGATCCCTAAGGGCCTTTGGTTCATGTCCCAAAGAATGGGGAAGTGCTGAAGATATAAGCATGGTGGTGTTAGCAGTGGATTATCTGTCCATCTGTCTATCTGAAAGGTGATTCAAATCTATCCATTCTAGTTCTTAGCTTAACTTAGCTCTGATAGAATAATTAGGAGCCTAGCTATAAGAAATGTGTAAGAAAATAATTGAATAACAGGAGCTGCTCAAGAAGGAGTAAGATAGTTAGTTAGTGTGGTGCTAATTAGTGTGGGCCTAGTTACGGTGGACCTAGTTAGTGTGGTGCTAGTTAGTGTGAGCCTGGTTAGGGTGGACCTTGTTAGTTTGAGCTAGTTAGTGTAAACCACTAAGCTAGTTAGTGGTTCAGCTCCAGAAGCAGCATTGTCCAATAAAACTTTCTGCAGTAATTAAAGTGTCTGAGCTGGGTGTTCATGGTGCACGCTTTAATCCCAGCACTCGGGAGGCAGAGGCAGGAGGATCTCTGTGAGTTCGAGACCAGCCTGGTCTATAAGAGCTAGTTCCAGGACAGCCTCCAAAGCCACAGAGAAACCCTGTCTCGAAAAACCAAAAAAAGAAAACAAAAAAGAAAAAAAAAGAAAGTGTCTGAGTGTCTGTCCCTGCGCTGTCCACAATAAGGGATCCACTAGCCACTTGTTACATTGATCACTTAAAATGTGGCCGCTAAAGTGGAGGGATTGAATTTTAAAGCTAATTTAAATAGTCCTGTGATTAGAGGCTCCCACATTAGTACAATCCTAGAGAATTTTCCAGGTTGTGTTTGGATTGCTCAAGAGGTTCCTGAGGTCACGTTACAAAGACAGCTGTCTTCAGGATGTGACTGATTTTGCATGTGTCAAGTTTGAAAGCTTGGAAACAGCCTCCTAGGTCGGGTCTGCCCCTGGTGCAGCATGCCCATCAAACCAGGGCTCTGTGCTACAGATGCCGCGATGTGGGCTTCACAGAGAGTGAAGTCACCCACAATGGGCTGGACCTTCCCCCATCAGTCACTAATTAAGAAAGTGCCCACTGGTCAGTAGTGGCACACCTTTAATCCCTGCACTTGGGAGGCAGAAGCAGGCAGAGCTCTTAAGTTTGAGGCCAGCCTGGTCTACAGAGCTAGGTCTAGGACAGCCAGAGCTACACAAAGAAACCCTGTCTTGAAAAAACAGAGAGAGACAGACAGAGAGAATATATGTCCTACAGGCTTGCCTACAGCCCATTCATGTGGAGGCATGGGACTCTAGTTAGTGTCAAATTGACATAACCCTAGCCAGCCCCCTGACTTTGATCTTCACTCCAGAGATTCCATTGGTTCAAGGGAGTGAGGGTGTTTGTGAGGGAACTCTTGGCTGTCTAGGGCCCTGCAACCCAGACCTGTCTCTTCTCCAGATGCTCCTTGAGAAACTGAATGGCACAGTGCCCTGCCTCCTGGACACCAGCACCATCCCTGCCGAGGAGCTGACCATGAGTCCCTCACGTTCCATTGCCAACCCTTCCCTGAATGATAGCCTGGCCACTAGTAACCTCCGGCCTTCCAATGGTGACTCGCCTTCCCACCCCTACCACCGAACCTTCTCACCCCACTTCCACCACTTTGTGGAGCAGTGCCTTCAGCGCAACCCCGATGCAAGGTACCTTGCTGGCCATCAGTTGAGCTTCAGGGGAGCAGAGGGAGCTTGGGAACTCCAGCCAGAAGAGAGGCTGGCTCTTAAGTAGAGACTAGATTCCCAGAGGATTCCCACAGCAAGAAGAACCAGCTTCCTGTTAAGAAGCTAGCCTGGGTGGCTTTGGCTATTGGCTGTTGGGAGAGCTGAGGGAGGAGGGAGAAGGTCTGGGAGGAGAGGGTGAGTGTCAGGGTTTGGATAGCTGAGCCCAGGGTTCATGTGGTCTCTTCCCCCTTCTCTCCAGGCCGAACGCCAGCACCCTCCTGAACCACTCCTTCTTCAAGCAGGTATGGAAGTGCTCCCCTGGTTCCAAACCTGCTGCTGCTCACCTGTGGTTCTAGCCACCCTGGCTCCTTAGCTTGGGGGTAGGGGTTCTTCCGCTGCTTGTTTGAACAGAGGAATGACCATGTTTCTGAAGCCCTAAGAGGCTCCAGGACACCATGGGGCAGGAACCATGGCCTGATAACTGAAGGTCCTGTGGTGTCCTGAGTTGTAGCATCCATCATCCAACTTGTCTTTCTCCCTCAGATCAAGCGACGTGCCTCAGAGGCATTGCCCGAGTTGCTTCGCCCTGTCACCCCCATCACCAACTTTGAGGGCAGTCAGTCTCAGGATCCCAGTGGAATCTTCAGCCTGGTGACAGACTTGGAAGGCCTGGAGGTGGATGACTGGGAGTTCTGAGTCAATGCAGCCTGCACCCTCCAGCTGGGGTGGGGTGTGAGCCCTGGGGGCGCTCCCTGAGGGTCGGCACCTACCTCTGGGTGCAGACTGGGTAGAAAGGACACTGTGCCGGCAGAGCTGGCTGCTGGCTGCTTGAAAGGACATTCTGGAAGAGACTTCACTGTTTCTTTGGCTTTTGAGAGACAGGGAGTCCCAGTCACCAGGGACTTGGAGAAGCCGGAAAGCTGACATCCTGTTCTGTGAGCTCAGGGGACCTCCTTAGAAGGAAGAGACACTGCTTTGGCCCCGAGGCTGAAGTCCAAGCCCAGAGCTTAACTCACGACCCAGGGATCCTTCACTTCCTCTTCCTGCACTTGCGCTCATACCAGCCTATTCCACTCATTTCTCTGCTCCCAGATCCTGTAGGGCTAAACGGGGGACAAGTCCCAAGCAGCCTGTCCCTGCTCTGCCATCAGGCATCTCCCCAGTGTCTGTTTTAAGCACCAGGTCAGTTATGGCTGGGCCGGGCCATCCTCATCCCCACCTAGCTCTTGGGCCCTGACACCTGAAACCTCTTAGCTCGTCTGTTACACTCCTTTCCCAAGAATCCATCCAATGCCTCCTGCCAGCTGCTGCCTTGGTGCCTCCTCCAAGGGCCGTAATGTCTTGCCTCATCTGAGGGCTTGAGTAAGTCCTTACGTTGTGTTAGTTTCATTGTCAGAACAAATTAAAAATTTCAGAGTATGTCACCAGTGTTTCCATGTGTGCACAGGCTGTAGGATGGCCAGACAGGATCAGGGTCAGGTCTAGGCCATTGTTCTCCCAGGGTGGGCTGAGTGGGTGTGGAGGCCTGGCAGTGATTTTTTTTTTTTTAAGATTTTATTTATTATGTATACAACATTCTGCTTCCATGTACATCTGCACACCAGAAGAGGGCACCAGATCTCATAACGGATGGTTGTGAGCCACCATGTGGTTACTGGGAATTGAACTCAGGACCTCTGGAAGAGCAGTCAGTGCTCTTAACCTCTGAGCCATCTCTCCAGCCCCAGTGATTTCTTTCATAAGCAGACATACCAGTTTCTTTCAAAACCCATGGTCTCTTAATTCCCTAGAATTTCAGGAGTATTATATTAAATTTTGCCTTGGCAAAATTATCTGGAAAGGACACCAGAGTTGGTGTCTAGCCAAGCCCACTTCTGGGGCACTAGGGCTCTGGCAGCCAAGGGTGGAGGGCTTTGTCGTATCTCCTGATGGTTGGTACTTATACCCAGCAATCATGCAACCCAAGAACCTGTCATCCTGGCAGCCAGTGACCGACTATGACAAGGGTATTGGCCCTAACCTCGTTTCTGTGTGTGCCCAGCCCAGCATTTCCACCTGGCCAGGCCCCTGGGTGAGGCCCTCTGCTGTCTGAGGCGCCCTAAACCCTGGTTTTTGTTTTGTTTCATTTTTTGTTTTTCGAGACAGGGTTTTTTTTTTGGGGGGGGGCAGGGGTCGTCCTGGCTGTCCTGGAACTAGCTCTGTAGACCAGGTTGACTTTAAACTCAGAGATCTGCCTGCCTCTGCCTCTGCCTCTCAAGTGTTGGGATTAAAGGTGGGGTCACCACTGCCTGTCATAAATACTTGTTTAAGGAAGTCCTCCCTTTTCTGAGGCTTTGTCGTAGGCCATCAAATTGCCCCCACTTTCCATTGTCTTAGAAAGTTTTTCAATTGAGGCCAGGAACATAGCTTAGTTGGCAGAGTACTTGCCTGGCATGCCCGGATCGTGTTTGATCAGCACTTCAGCAGTGTGTACATTGGGAGTGGGGCATGGTACTCTCTATAAACCCAGCACCTGGGGGCAGAGACAAGAGGATGCGCCTTGTATATCATCCTCGGCTACATAGCTGGGTTACAGCTACATAACATTGAAAAAACTTTGAAATGTCCCAGTATGGAGGTGGGTTAGGGGACTGAAATGGCACGTGAGGAAGGCCCATGCAAAGCCCCAGTCACACTATTTCAAGCGCTTCTACCACTGCCCGACTTGGGTTTTCTTAAATTTTAAAATCCTTTTTTTTTTTTTTTTAATAGGTGTGCTTGTGTGCACCAGGATATGACTTGTAGCCTAGGGTGGCCTTAATCTCAGAAAACTGGCATGGGTCCCACAGCTAGCCGTTTTTTCTCCTGTACTGCCTGCCTCCTTGCAGTCAGCTCATTCCTGGGACAGATGGTCCCAGCAGGGCAAGCTGCCAGTCGGTGCCCAGGAGCAGCCTCAGCCTCTTGGTGTCCCTAAGGGCTTCACCTTTCTTGCATCAAACAGCTTCCATGGCGACTCTGATGACAGGTGTGGACAATTTCCCCAGGAAAAGTACCCCCTAGTTGTGGAGAAGCACCCACCAGGAAGTCAGTGGCGGGGCCTCGTTGCAAGCAAAACATCGTCTAGAGCGGGAACGGGGACTGAGAGAAGAGTGCAGCGCAGCGTGGGCGCATTTTAGTGGGGGGCCGGTGGGGACGGGTGGTGCAGCCTGCTGCTTCCCTGTTCCCCTGCCAGGCAGGAGGCGTTGAGCTGTTCTGTTCCCTGACACGCGTGGGCCCGCGCTAGAGCCACCAGTTCTATTCCTGTCGCGGGTGTGGGGACGTGTCTCTCAGTGCTGTGTGCTTCGTGAAGCAGCCTCTAGCCGGGCTTCAGGCAAAGCTTCCAGCAGAGGTCTGTGCCCCAGATGCTGCTGCCCTGAGGCCTCCAGTGCCGGGCTGAGACCTGCTGGGGCGGAGTACTTTGTTCTCTAAACAAGTCTAGATGCCTCTCGGCTCCCTTCCGTGTCCTTTCAGCTAAGGGCTTGACCTGGGCCGTGCCATATAGGTCAAGGTTACGGATCCCACAAAATCTGGCCGCAGAACCGGGTTGAGGGGGTGGATGCGTCACACCCCTCACATGGCAGCATCCGGCCACCTTGGCCTAACATCGGGGTACGGGGGCCCATGAGCTGCCTCCATCTCCACCGCAGCACTCCGTGGCTGCCCGGGGCCCTGCTCCGCGGTCCCCCACAGTGGGACAGCTCAGGGGACTGGGTCCCCAAAGCGCCAGGAGGGGGCGGAGCTAATGGGACTCGGCCTTCACAATGGCCAACGGGTAAACCGAGGCAGCCAAAGGCCCAGACCCATTTGTGAAGGTCCACG